CTGCTATAGTCCCTCCAACTTCCTGTTCTTGTCTCATGAATGATTAACTGAGGTTAAAAGTTTACCCTCCTGAAATTAACTAGCCTTAGAGATAAACATTTCCCATTTGGCTGACAGGGACTTCCCCTGATTAAAACACACACACACACACACACACACACACACACACATATAACACCCCTGGTAAGTCTCCCTGCTATGAAAGTAAAAAGCAAAACCACCTCATAGAGACACTCTTGATCTCCAGATGTGGGGGTATTCTCCCTATTCTCCCTGAATAAATTCAATTTCAATACTTGTTTGCTTTATGTCTGTAACAGTTAAAGAATATCAGCTGGCTAAGAGTTTACATTGGAGGTATTCTCATGCTATTCCCTTTCACAGAAATAAAATTAAAAACATAAAAATACTAAAACAAAAGTATAAAAGCTTTTTTATTTTTTCAAATATAGCTGAACAATGAAGACCTTTCTAGTTATGAAAAAAACATGGAGGACACAGAAGATTGATAAACTTGGGATTGTGGTTATAGCTCAGTTGCAGAGTGCTTGCTAAGCATAAACCCAGGATCCAAAAAAAACACTGAAAAATTCAATTAGATGAAATGCATGAAGAAAACAATATAATTTTCATTCAAAAGATAAATAAAGGCTGGTGATATAGCTCAGTTGGTAGAGTGCTTGCCTGCCATGCACAAAGCCCTGGGTCCAATCCCCAGCACCACAAAAAAAGGACAAATGAGGGGCTCATTTGCTCAGTGATACAGCAATTGCCTAGCATGCATGAGGCCCTTGGTTCAATCCTCAACATCCCCTCCCCCCAAAAAAGACAAATGAGAAGCTGCAAAAATAGTCTGTGGCACATTAAAAGCAAGAAATAGGGCTGGGAATATAGCTCAGTTGGTACAGTGCTTGCCTTGCATGCACCAGGCCCTGGCTCAAATCCCAGCACCACAAACAAACAAAAAAGAAACAATGCCCTTCATATCAATAGAAACAACATGAGAGAAAAATCAGCAAAGGAAATTTTAAAACTGCTCAGTTGAGTATGGTGGTACATGCATATATAATCCCAGTGACTTGGGGGAGGTGCTAAGGAAGGAGGATCACAAATTCAAGGCCAGCCTCACCAACCTAGGGAGGCCCTAAGTAACTTAGCAAGACCCTGTCTCAAAATAAAAATAAATAAATAAAAAGGTTGGGGATGTGCTCAGTGGGGCTCAGTGGTTAAGCACCTCTGGGTTCAACCTCTGGTACCAATCAATGAATCAATCTCATAAAAAAATAAGCAGCCTCTTTAAACATAATCACATAATTCAACCTCAGTCACAAGACAAACACAAACTAAAAATTGGAGGGTACTTTTTTCCTCCCTTTACCATGAAATAGAATAATTATGCAGAAAAACACATGGAACATAAATACAGCCTGGCTTAACTAATTATTCAAGGCAAATACTTACCCAATTCCCACCCCTCCTGGAAAGTGAACATTGCCAGCTACTTGCCCAGAAGTCTTCCCCATGTTTCCTCCCCCTTTCCACTAATCAATAAAATTGTTGTCCTGCCTAGAATGACAAGCACTTCCTTCTTTTGCTTTCTAGTTTTACCAATGATGCATATACCCCTTTACAAATGTGGTTTTGTTTTTTGTTTTTTTGTTTGTTTGTTTGTTTGTTTTTCCTATGTTAAAACTTCACATAAGGGCTGGGGATGTGGCTCAGTGGTAGATGCTTGCATAGCATGCACAAGGCGCCAGCGCTACAAAACACAAAACAAGACAAAAACTTAAATTGAAACAAAATGCATTCTTGCATGCCTGGCTTCTTTCATTCAATAATATGTTTAATTTACTGGACCATTTTATTATTGATTAACACCTTTGTCATTTCCAATTATTGGCTATCACAAGTAATACAACAATGAGCACTGATAAATGTGTCCTGGTACTAAGGTACCTGGAGTTCTATTGGGTGTTTTCCTAGGAAGAGAACTGTTTCCTCATATGCTTTGATGAATAAGGCTAAAATGTTTCCAGATTATTTCAATTTATACTCCCAGGAGCAGCTTATGGGAGCTCACGATGCTTTTCAAATTTGCTAACGTTTGTTACTGTCACTGTCAATCTTCTTAATTTTAGCCATTCTGGTGGGGGTGTAGTGATATTACATGGTAGTTTAAGTTTGCATTTCCCTGGTGATAATGAGACTGAGCACTGTCTCAGGTGTTGACTAGCCATTTAGGTATAAACATTTGTGTGAGAGAATTTTTTTAATTTTTTTTTTTTTTTTTTTAGTTTTCGGCAGACACAACATCTTTATTTATTTTATTTATTTATTTTTATGTGGTGCTAAGGATCGAACCTAGTGCCTCACATGTGCTAGGCAAGTGTTCTACTACCAAGTCACAACTCCAACCCCAACATCTTCTGGGGTTTTTTTAATATTTATTTTTTAGGTGTAGATGGACACAACACAATGCCTTTATTTTTATGTGGTGCTGAGAATAGAACCCGGGTCCTGCCCGTGCTAGGCGAGTGCTCTACCACTGAGCCACAATCCCAGCCCCATCTTCTGTTTTTTATATCATCTCCCACTCTGTGGAGTGATTTTATTTTTAATGGAAGTAATTATCATAAAGGTCAGGATAGTAGTTATCTTGGAGAGTAGGGGGATTCTGGAAAACTGCCAACAGTCTCATTCTAGATCTATATAATGATAAATCACTCAGCTTTGTACATCTGTTTAGTATAATTCTCTGTATGTATTTCATATTAAAAATATTTTTAAAATATAGATTGAACTTCAGAATCATTAACTCCACCTGAATGCATATACTTAAAAGGGGGTGTACACATGTGCACGAGGAGACACAAATAAGAGTATTCAGACTGGGCACAGTAGAAAACACTTGTAATCCCAGCATCTTGGGAGGCCAAGGAAGGAGAATCACAAGTTTAAGGCCAGCTTGGGCAACTTAGTGAAACCACAGCAACTTAGTGAGACCCTACCTCAAAATAATAAACAAAGGGCAGAGGTTATAGTTGAGTGGTAGAGCACTTGCCTAGCATCAGTGAGGCACTGGGTTTGATCCTCAGTACCACATAAAAACAAACAAAATAAAGGTATTGTGTCCATCTACAAATAAAAGTATTTTAATTTTTTTTTAAAAAATAAAAAACAGAAATGGCTGGATGTGGCTCACTTGCAAAGTGACCCTGAGTTCAATCCCCAGTACCAAAAAAGTGCTCACAGCAGCATGGTTTATAATTGTGCTATATTTCACGAAAATATTTTCAATTAACAAAAAATTATGAAATTTGGTGGCCACATTTTGTGAAAGAAAAAGGAGAAAATAAGAATGTATCCTCAGCCCTTTTAAAATTTACTTAAAGCAACTATAATCAAATAGAGAAAACTAACCTGCTTATGTGTATTAGGGAGTGATGAGCAGATAGAAGAAATATGGATAAGAAAATTTAGACTATACAGCTTTCAAATTTTTTAAACTTTTCGAGCCATATGTCCATATAAATATTTTAAAAATTAAATTTAAAAATTATTAATACTATCCTTTGAGTAATAAGTGCTACATCTGTAAAATAAAAACAGCACATTATTGAAAGAAAATATTCTGAAAGCAAAAAGAGCTATTTAAAATAAAAAACGTAGCCAGGCATTTTGACACTAGCCTGTAATCTGAGTATCTTGGGAGGCTGAGGCAGGAAGACTGCAAGTTCAAAGCCATATTCAGCAACTTAGCAAGGCCCTAAGCAACTCAGCGAAACCCTTGTCTTTAAATAAAACACAGAAAGGGGCTGGGGATGTGGCTCAGTGGTTAAGCAAAAAAAAATTACACTATACCCATAAATTTATATAATTATCATTTGGCAATCAAAAATAAGTACATAAGTAAACAGAAAAAGTACTATCACTACAATTATTACTAATGTGTTTGACTATATGGAAATAAGATTTAAACACTTGGGAAGAATTTAGAGTTGAATTACTAATATCTACATAGTAAAGCAAACAAACGACTTCATTAAAAAATTGTTAACTGCAGGTAAAAGAAAAAAGTAGTACATAAGTAGTAATCACAGCATGGATAATATGTGACTTACTTACATATTGTTACAATAACAAACACTGACAAACACTTTACCCAAATATTGATATACACTGTATTTATCCAAGGAGAATCGGTTAACAGGAAATGAATATGTGTGTGGGGTGGGGGTGTATAGAAAAGCTCAATATCTATCTTCCATAGTGGGAAGTTAATAGAAAATATTGAAAACTTTAAAAACACATTAAAATATTAAGAGTGCTTGCCTCTAAGGATCTGGAATCCAGGGGAAAGTAAAAGAGGAAAGGATTACTTTTCAAACAAGACTTTAAAGAACTAATTGATATCCCAGATTTTATACAAATTGTTTGCTTCACCACTTGTAAACAAAACTGCAAGCTAACTGCAAATTACAAAGTGGCAAAAATATTCACAAAACATGCAAGAACGGCAAACGTTATTAACCTTAATATTAAAAAAAAACCATAGGCTAAGATAAATAAATAAGCATGGATAGGAAAAGAAAATTCATAAAAGGGAAATAAGTAAACAATAAAAAATATGGGGGGCTGAGGCTGTGGCTCAGTGGTAGAGCACTTGCCTAGCATGTGTGAGGCACTGGGTTCGATTCAGCAACACATATAAATAAATGAATAAAATAAAAGCCCATGCATCTAAAAAAAATTTTTTTAATTAAAAAAAAAAATATGGAGGGGCTGGAGTGTAAGTCAGTGGTAGAGCACTTGCCTAGCAGGCATTAAGCCCTGGGTTCAATCTCAACATCATCAAAAAATAAATAAATATATAAAAATGGAGTGAAAATGATCCTGCCTAGTAAAAAGTATTACAAATCAAACAATAATATAAAGTCTCTCCCTCAGGATTTGAAGTTCTGAATTAATTTCTGTCCCTGGGTATCTCCTCCTCTCCTCACCTCACAGGCATTGCCATGTCTTCCTTGCTGGGGCAAATTCTGGCTGGCTGCCATGTTCACACTGGATTTCAGCTCTAGGGCTCTCTTGCTGACAACTCCACTCTTCCCAGGAACTCCAAGTTTGGTAGGGTCTGTAGACTCAACTGGAGCTACTGGGATCAGGAAGATGATTCTACAGCCTTCATTAAAGGGTGTGGCCCATGGACATGGCAGAGACTCCAAGAAACCTGGAAAGACATGGTCCACATGGTTAGAATCATACAGTACTCACCACACAAACACTTTCTGTTGGAACCCAAGTAGTCAAAGTCCCAGAAACACCTATTGTATTTATTAATTAAAATGGAATATGAAGTTGGGCATGGTGGCACATGACTGTAATCCCAGCAACTTGGAAGACTGAGGCAGGAAGATTGCAAGTTCAAGGCCAGCCTCAGCAACTTAGGGAGGTCCTAAGCAACTTAGTGAGACCTTGTCCCAAACAATAAAAAAGGACTGGTAATATTGCTCAGTGGTTAAGCACCCCTGGATTTAAGCCTTGGTATCCCCCCAAAACAATGGAATATGAGTGAGACTATGAGATTTGGACCAAAATTAATAAACGTTTAAATTCTAGCTCTACCAGCTATTAGCTGTGAGACTATAAAAAAGCTTCTTCAGTCTTATTTTTCAAAAAAAATCAAAATAATCTCAAGTAGTTGTGAAAATTAAGTGAGATAATATTTATAAGGCACTTGGTATGGAACTGGCAAAATATAAACAATTAACATATATTAGCAAATACTGTTATATAGGCTGAGCATTCCAAATCCAAAAATCTGAAGTCCAAAATGCTCTGTTTAAATCTAAAACGTTTGGAGCACCAACATGATTCCACAAGTGGAAAATTCCACACTGAATTTATGTAATGGAATATAGTCAAGATGAACTGCAATCCAGGTGCCTGGTGCACACCTATAATCCCCACTACTCAGGAGGCTGAGGTAGGTGGAGCAGAAGCTCAAGGCCAACCTGAGCAATTTAGTGAGACCCTGTCTTAAAATAAAAATACACAGGGCTGGAGATGTAGCTCAGTAGCAGAGTGTCCCTGAGTTCAATCCCCAGTAACACACACACACACACACACACACACATACACAAAACCACAGATGCATTAAAAATATAAAAAATATATGTAAAATTATCTTCAGGTACTCATATAACATGTATATGAAACATACATAAATTTTGTATATAGACTTGGGTCCCATCTCTAAGATATCTCATTACATATATGCAAATGCTCCAAAATCTGAAAAACTATCAAATCCAGAAAACTTCTGGTCCTTAAGCATTTCTATTTTTTTCTTTCTTATTCCAACATTTCTTTTTTTTTCCTCCAGTTTTTTATTTGTTCTTTTTAGTTACATATGACAGTAGAGTATATTTTGACATATCTACATATGTGGAATATAGCTTCCCATTTTTTTGATTGTACATGATATGGAGTTCCATAGGTCATGTATTCATACATGAATACAGGAAAATTATGTCTGATTCATTCTACTATCTTTCCCATTCCCATCCCCCTCCCTTCCCCCATTTCCCCATCCAATCCCCCATTCCTCCCTCCCCCTGCCTATTCTAAGTCAGCATCCACACATTAGAGAGAACATTGGGCCTTTGTTTTCGGGGATTGGTTTATTTCTCTTAGCATGATAGTCTCCAGTTCCAACATTTCTGATAAGGGAAACTCAATCTGCCTAAGGAACTGAGTAATATGCACAGGCAGATCCTTCATATCATTTTCATTCCAATCTTGGTATCTATGTGTTGCTATAATTATTTCATTATAATCATACAGAAACAGAGGTTTAGTGGTAGCAAGTCAAACCAAGTCTACCTGGCTCCAAAATTCATGTTCAACATTATATCATACAGTACTTTTACATGGTAGACCCAAAATAAATGTGGTTCTGCTTTATGTTTGTTGAAAATATGATTGGGAATTTGGAATAAAAAAGTTGACTTTCTTAAAACAGAAGAGACATGATAAGAAAAATATTAATAGCCTGGGGCTAAAACTTTTCAATTATCTCAAAAAACATTTGGAGAGAAAACTACTCCTATTGAGGGAACCTAGGAGGAAAGAGTAATTTTGGGTCCAAATTGAAGTATAATTTTACTCTGGTCAATTACTAGAGGCACTATATATTTAGACATTCTTGTTAAGAAAGGGAAAATATCCACTTAAAATGAAGAGAAAGTAAGGTATGGTGGAATGTAACAGTAATCCGAGCTACTCAGGAGACTGAAGCAAGAGAACCACAAATTTGAGACCAGCCTCAGAAACTTAGAGAGATTTTGACTCAAAATAAAAATTAAAAATGGGTTGGGAATGTAGCACAATGATAGAGTGCTTGCCTAGCATGTGCAGGCACTGGGTTTAATCCCAGTGCCACAACAAAAGGAAAAATACTCCCTAAATAACCCCAGTATCAAAGTGGAAAATCAATAGAAACACTTTACAATTTTTATCAGAAATTATGGAACACAAAGTTGTGTTTACACTGAAATTTTGGCTTTAAATGGCTTTTTTTAATATTTATTTTTTAGGTGTAGATGGACACAACACAATGCCTTTATTTTTATGTGGTGCTGAGGATCGAACCAGGGCCCTGCCCATGCTAGGCGGGCACTCCACCGATGAGCCACAATCCCAGCCCCTTAAATGACTTTTTTAAATAAAAAGTAAATACAACCAAAATGAGTTAAGTATTCAACCGAAAGCATTAGTAGTAAGAAAACCAAAATTAAGCAAAATAGTAATTAATACAAATAAAATTAATTAATACATATAAAATTGTAAATAAAACAATAATTTTGCAGGACATCCCCCATGCATTCTCCTCCTCCCTCCCTCTCAAACAAAATCAATACTAGAAAAGAAAAGAAGAAACCAGTGAGTATAGAAGAGACTGGAAAAAATAAAAAACCTGACATAACATAGCAAAGAGAAATAGGAAGAATCTGAAAGACAGAAAAGAAAGGTGAATAGCCTACATATCACAGAACTTCAGTAACAAAACCAGTTGTGAGTTACCTGGGTTTACTTTTTCCCTTCCATACATCACCAAAAGTTACTGGTGGAATTAACAATTCAGAACAACCAACAAGCCCAGATTAAAAAAAAAAAAAAAAAAAGCTTCAAAAAAAAGAAACTCTCCTTAATCAAAGTAACAGAAGAAAGGGGATCTCACTAATCAGAAAACCTCTTTTGAAAAATACCCAGCTTACTCCAGAGAAACACTAATGGAATACACATTCTTTTCAAGCACCTATCAATATTCTCAAAGATAGACTATGCCTGAGTCAACACCTTCACAAATTTAAATTAAACAATGCATTTTCTCTGAATATAAGAATACCAAACTAAAAATCAATAACAGAAAGATAAGAAAATCTCTAAACACTTGAAAATTAGTTTATTTCTATATAATCCATAGATTGAAAAAGTCCTAAGGGAAGTTAAATAAATAAAAATAAAAATACAATATATCAGAATTTATGAAATACAGTTCTTAAAGCAGCATTGAGAAATTTATAGCACTAAGTGTTTACATTAGAAAAGAAGACAGGTCTGAAATTAACCATCCAAGCTCCCATCTCAAAAAACTAGAAAAAGAAGAGCAAAGTAAACCCCAAAGCAAGCAAAAGGAAGTAATAAATATAGAGCAGAAATCAATGAAATTGAAAACAGAAAAACAATAGAGAAAAATCAATGAATCCCAAAGCTGGCCCTTTGAAAAGATGGATAAAGTTGGTAATCAACTAGCAAGACTGATAAAAACAAAAAGAGATAAGACAGTTGGGCATGGTGACCCACTCCTGTAATCCCAGCAACTCAAGTGGCTGAGGCAGGAGGATCACAAGTTCGAAAGCATCCTCAGAAACTCAGAGAAGCCCTAAGCAACTTAGTGAAACCCTGTCTCAAAATGAATAAAAAGGGGCTAAGGATGTGGCTCAGCAGTGGCTCAGCAGAAGAATACTAGCCTAGCACGTGCAAGGCCCTGGGTTTGATTCTCAGCACCACATACAAATAAATAAAATAAAGGTATTGACGACTACAACTAAAAAAATATATATTTGAAAAAAAGGACAGTAGAGGAATACCATAAATAACAATGCACATAAATTCTCCAACTTGAATGAAATAGTCCAATTCCTCATAAAACAAACTACCATAACTCATCCACTGTTGGGTAATCTGAAATGATATTAAATAGATAATCTGAATAGTTATAAAACTACTACAGAAATTGAAACAATAGTTTTTTTTTAAAAAAAAAAAAAAAGCTTTCAAATGAAAATTTACAAACCCAGATGGTTTCACTGGAGAATTGTACTAAACATTTAAAGAAAAATTAGCACAAATTCTACACAATCTCTTCTAGAAAAAAGAAAATAGTCACCAACTTATTCTGAGACCACTATTACCCTAATAATAAAACCTAAAACAGTACCAAAAAAAATAAAACTATAGGCCAATATTGCTCATGAATTTAAAATCCTTTTAAAAAATATTAATCAATTCCTGCATATATCCAAAAATATATATGCCACAACCAAGTAGGGTTTATCCTAGGAATAGTCTGCATCACTATTCAAAAATCAATCCGCATAACCCACACACACACACACACACACACACACACACACACATATTAACAGGCTAAAGAAGAAAAATCACAAGATTATATAAATTCATAGTATTGACAAAATGCAATGGCCATTCATGATAAGACTCGCAGCAAATTAGATACAGAGAATTTCTTCAGCTTGATGAAGAGCATCCATTTAAAAACACAAAAAGGCAAAACCCAACAGTTAACTCATACTTTGATGGTGAAAGTCTGAATGTTTTCTCCCTAAGACTGGAATGATGCAGATATTCATGCTCATCACTCTTATTCAACGTAGTACAGTTTGAGCTTCACTAATCCAAAAACCTGAATTCCAAAATACTCCAAAATCACAAACTTCTTCATTGATGACATGATGCCACAAGTGGAAAATTCCATACCTGACTTCTTCATGAATCACAGCCAAAATACAGGCACACTAAAAATATTCTTTGAAATTACCTTCAGGCTATGTGTATAAGGTATATATGAAACACAAATGATTTTATGTTTAGATTTGTGTACCATCCTGAATATACCTCAATATCTATATATGCAATTATTCAAAAATCCAAAAAATATGAAACCTGAGACACTTATGATCCCAACCACTGCAAAAAATGGATAACTCAATCTGTACTGGAAGTTCTAACCAGCATGATAAAACAAGAAAAAGGAAAGTGTTGAGATTAGAGAGGAAGAAATAAAACTGTCTCTGTATATGACATGATTGTCTGTACAGAAAAGTTTCAAGGAAATTACCAAATAGATGTAAATAAATAATTAACTTCAGGGCTGGGAATTTGGTTCAATGGTAGAATACTTGCCTAGTATGCATGAGGGCCTGGGTTCAATACTCAGCACCACAAAAAATAATTATTAGTAGTAGTAATAATAAAATTCAGAAAAACTGTAGGACACAAGATCAATACATAAAACTCAACTGTACTCTTATATATGGGTGTGCATTTATGAATATATGTGTGTATATATGTATGTGTGTATTTATACACTTATATATGTATGCGGCAAATGTGTAGAAACCAACATTTAAAAGATAATGCCATTTACAACTCCTCCAAAAAAATTAAGTACTTTGGCATAAACTTAAAACATATACAGTACTTGTATGCTGAAAATTACAATACACTGTTGAAAGAATCAAAGAAGATAAATAGATATACTATGTACATGGACTGAAGGACTTCACATAGTTAAGATGTACATTGTTCCCAAGTTGACACAGCAAGATGTGTTGTAGGTAGAGACAAGACTAGGACATGCATATGGAAAAGCAGAGGAACTAGAAGACTTAAAATAATTTAAAAAATAAAGTGGAAGGAATTGCTCTACCTGATAGCAAGACTTATTACACAGCTACAGTAATCAAGATAGTGTGGAAACTACTGGCAGGGGCATAGACACAGATCAATGGGACAGAATAAAGAACCCAGAAAGTACCCCCACAAAAGCATGGCCCATTTGTTTTTGGTAACGATGGAAGAATAATTTTTTCATCAAATTGTGTTTGAGTAATGGGACATCAATTAGTGGATAAATGCACTATGACCTAAGTCTCACACTTTATCTTAAAAAAAAAAAAATGTTTGCATGCTTGGGATGGAACCCAGGCCTTGCAAGTGGTCTACTACTGATCTACAGTCTCAGCCCTAAGTCTCAGACTTTATAGGAATATTAGCCCACAATAGATCATTGACAAAAGCAAGGAGAATGAACAAATTACCATCAAAGTGGAGAATTTCTCTCTCCACTCTCATAATGGAAGAAGCAGAACCCCCCATACATATTTTGCATGACACAACTGACATCTAAATATTATCTTCAAGTTAAACACAAAACATTGCTAAAAATTCACCACAGACTAGGCCGTAAGTCTCCTTATATTTCAACAATGAGTTTTATGTAGATTTGAGACACAGAAAACAAAGGTTAGAAATCCATTAAAAAGATAAACTTTGGGGAATTGAAAATGCACTTCTAAATAATTCCTGAATAAAATACAAATTATTAATTATTTAAGAACACATAAAACAATGCACAAAACAGGGGAACTTTAAGACCTTAATATTGCTATCTGAAAAGAGAAAACCCTGCAAAATAATGGGCAAATCATTCAACTCATGTTAGATCAATGAATCCATCACAGAATCCCCCGGTACTCACCCTCCCCGGCCGCCCATCACCTCTACATCCCTCTGGCATTGAGTTGAATCCGCTTGACAACTATCTAACCGAGGTTGAGAACCGCAGCCGCTTCCGGTCACCGGCCCTAACACCTCCCCTTCTCGGGATTTGGAGTTTGACATCGGAAGTGAGGATATGCGCATGCGCAAAACAACCTTGGAAGGCTCAGCCAAGAGTCAACATGGAGTCGTTGCGGAGTCTATCCTCAGCGGCTTTCGGTAGGGGCACCTAATATGCAGCGTTGTCAGGCAGGGAACATGGCTGCTCCCGAGGCGCATCCCTATGGACTACGCCATGTTAGAAGAGTGTCCATTCCATACTGAGAACGAGGACGCCTCTAGCTCAACTCACTGAGCATTGATGTGGAGTTATGCCCCTGGCGGCAGGAAGCAGGAGTAGGGACATTTTGCTGGACGAGCTTACTGCCAGAGGGGAGGCTCTCTAAATCTGTACTCTGTGCATTTGTATAATAGCGTTCTGAGAAGCTGGCCAAAACTATAGGGTGAAAAGGGAGGAGAAATCAGGCTGGAACATACCACGACGGGAAAAGGGGGAGAAATCTGGGTTGTGCAAGCCCTCCTAGGATATACCACAGGATGGAAAAAGGGGTCCAGTAAGTGTTAGGTTCCCAATCCTTGCTGTGCCCATGGGGCTTGGCTTTAGGGTTTGAATGCTCCCATAATCTACCTTATCTCTTACTCCATCTACCCGAACTAAAATGAATATGCCAATAATAATTTTTGATGTGTCCTTAATCTAATGCACTTCAATAAAAACTCTTTAGGAAATTTTATTATTTTTTTTTCTTTTTGAGTTTCTTTCATAGCAAGAAACATTTATTAAGCACTATTAAATGGAATCCTCCCAACCTACCTATGAAGTATTTTTAGTTGATTCTTTTTAGTTATATATAACATTGGATACATTTTTACATAATCACAAAAGCATGAAATATAATTTGCTCTAATTCACTTCCCCAGCATCTACTCTACTGATCTTTCTGCAGTTTATTTATAGATTGATTTTATGATTAGGGTCTTGTGGATATATTTGATGTTGCAATTCACTGTGGTATATGCGTGTATGTACGTATGAAAGTTCCCTCATATTCATTCCACTGTTCTTCCCTTATTCCACTCCCCTCTTCCGCCTGCTCAATTCCCTTCCTCTAGTCTAGTGATCTTTCCTCTACATTGATGGAATTCCCTTTCCCTTTTTTTTCCCTTCTCTGACCACCCCACATTTTGGATTAGCTTCTGCCTATCAGAGAAAATATTCAACCTTTGACTTTGGGCGATTGGCTTATTTCACTTAGCATTTGCTTTACCAGCAAATGTTATAAAGTCCTTCTTCTTTATGGCTAAGTAATACTCAGTTGTGTATATATATCATATTTTCTTTAGCCTTACCTCTGTTGAAGTGCACCTAAGATGATTCCATAGCTTAACTACTGTGAGTTGAGCTCCTATAAACTTTGATGTGACTGCTTCCCTGTAGTATGCTGATTTAAAATCTTTTTGATATATACCAAAGAGTAGGAGAGCTGGGTCATATGGTAGTTCCATTCCTAGTTTTGTTTTTGTTGTTGTTTGTTTTGTTTTTAGGAATCTACATACTGCTTTCCAGGGTTGTTGAACTAATTTGCAATCCCACCAACAATGTATGATTTATCTTTTTCCCCACATCCTTGTCAGCATTTATTATTATTTGTATTCTTGATAATTGCCATTCTGACTGGAGTGAAATGAAATCTCAACATTGTTTTGATTTGCATTTCCCTAATTGCCAAAGAGGCTGAACATTTTTTTAATATATTTGTTGATCATTTGTATTTCTTCTTTTGAGAAGTTTCTGTTTAGGTCTTTTGCCCATTTATTGATTGGGTTATTTGATATTTTGGGTGCTAAGTTTTTTGTGTTCTTTGTATTTTCTGGATATTAATGCCCTATCTGAGGAGCAGGTGGCAAAGAGCTCTATGGACTGTCTCGTCATACTCTTGTTTCTTTTGCTGTGCAGATGCTTTTTAATTTGATGCCATCCCACTTATTGATTTTTTATTTTATTTCTTGCTCTTTAGGAGTCTTGTTAAGGAAGGTGGTTCCTGTACTGACATACTGGAATATTGTGCCTATATACTAGCAGCTGCAGAGGGAAACTTTTATTTTTATTTCCTTATAAAGTAAAATCTATACAGTGTTGGTGCCTTTACTTTGCAAATATAGCTTTCATACAAGATTCTTGATTCTTCCATTCAAACAATTTTCTGCCCCTTATCACCTTCAATGTGGAATCCTGGAGTATTCCACATTGTGGGAGATGTCATTGTGGCAGAAGGGGAAGAAGTCATACTGCCCTTGAGCTAAGAATGCCTATTTGTCCTACAAAACCAAGTTCAATACTCCACCTTCATAGAATCCTGATAGAAGTAGAAGGCTCTGTGCCCCACTGAAGGCCTTTCTAAATCCTCAGGCGAGAAGTATTTTGAGGACCAAGGGTAGGCTGAAATGTGGACTTAATGGGGGCTTTCTATGTACTCAGCCCCTTTGTGCCTCAGTTTAGGAATCTGGAATTTAAGACATGTCACAGTCAAATCAGCCTAAAACCACCAGGGACTAAGTTATACTCTGATAGCTTATTTAATCAATTAGGGAGACCATATACTAGAGGAACCATGGGGCAGCTCCCTAAACAGGAAAATATAGAGTTCTTATAGGAATATGAAGAAGAGTAGAGTTTAGATGCAATTTAAACAAAACAGTGTGTTGGGGAGCTCAAAGTAAAGCAAGGCTGTGTGTTAAGGGGGTCAACATCAGGTCTGGACTGCAAAGTGAACCCAGAGACCTGAATTGGAAACAATTCAGATAGCTGTCAGGTGTTGTGTCCATATAACCCATATCTGGAGCTATGCACCTGTGTTGGAAATTGAGGCTTGTTTTTCTGTGTCTAAGTAAATTAGAATCTCCATTAAGATGCAGGTGTTTTATTCTTTCTGATATTATTTCAAATAGCAAAGTTTCGGATAGTATATGACTGTAGACAACAAAGTTTCTTGTACTACCATAAAGAAGCCCTACCTGGAGCAGTAGTAACTCAAAATATGGTTTCCTTATGGTATTACAGCTGCAGCGTGTCCTTGGGAGAAGTGTTTCCTGTTAATTTTTCATCTGGTTTTATCCATGGCTGTTTTCTCACATCCAGATGAGTGGCAGGGCAGATTTTTATAGTCTGAGTTCATTTTTACTTAGCGGAGTTGAGCTTTCTGATTATCATAGAATCTCTTTCCACTCCTGTATCCCTGGTCTGGATAAGTGTTTGTTGAATTAATAAATAAAAAAAGAAATGGAATGAGTGTAAACACATTTGGCATGAATATACTTCTAAAAGAGTGCGAAGAATTAATAGTGTTGAGTGTCATAATAGTGCTATGGTTATGTAAGAAAAAGTAAGTCTATCTGTTAGACTATTCAGACAAGAGAGAGATAGGGCTAATAAACATGAAGAGATGTTCAAACTCATTAGTGAACAAGGAACTACAAATCAAGACATGATAAAAAGACATTTGACACCAATTTGATTTGCAGAATTGTAAAAATCTGACAAGACCAAGAGTTAAAGACTGTGAAGATTCACAGGATCTTTTTGCCCTACCAAAGCAATATAAATCAGTGCAGCCAGTTTAGAAAATAGTTTGGCATTCCCACTTATAGTGAATATTCACATGACTTGCAGTCCAACAAATGTTCTCTTATCCAAGAAAAATACTCGCACAAGAAACCTAGAATGTGTGTGGCATCCTGTTCAAATGGCAAAACCTGGGGAAAAAATGGATGCTCATTACCAGGAGTCAAATGAATGAACTAGAACAATGCTCAACAATATGGATGAATATTAAGGGGGATAATTATAAGCCCAAATGCTAATGTAAAGCATAATATATGTTTATATAATTAAAAGCTACTACTATAAAGAACACAAACTACTTAGAATTTTGTATAGTTGCAATAAAATTATATAAAAAAGAAATTAAAAGTTGAGGATGATGTTTACCTTAGGTAGGGAGGGGAGACTATAAATTGGATAGATGCATAATGGAGATTATTGTAAAAGCCATACCTTTTCTTTAGATGGTAGAGGCATAAGTTATAATTATATTATTAAAACTAACTAAATATTTAAATTTATTGGGAAAGATCAAATGTTATACAAATAGCTTCATGAAAGAAAGAGAAAATCTGTATGGAGAAGAATGGCACTCCTTAAATAGGTCAAGAAAACCTTTGGTCCTAGTCCAGAGATGCCACCTAGTGGTGGCATAAGCAGGAAGCAGGAGTTCCACAGCCTTAATATTGCTGCCCTTGCCAAAGATGCTCTGGCTCCAAGACTCACTCCTTCCTATCTTCTGATCTGTTCAAATGTCTTTTCTTCAGTGGCATTTCTTCCCTGGCCCAGCCCACCACTCTCAGATTCTTTGTTCCATTTTCTTTACAGCCTCCCTTTTATCAAAAATTTCTTATTTAGCCAGGCATGGTAGAGAACATTTGTAATCCCAGTCACTTGGGAGACTGAGGCAGGAGGAAAATAAGTTCAAAAGCAGCCTCAGCAACTTAGCGAAGCCCTAAGCAACTCAGTGAGACCCTTTCTCTAGATAAAATTCAAAAAAGGGCTGGGGATGTGGCTCAGTGGTTAAGCGTCCCTGGGTTCAATTCCTGGTACAAAAAAAAAAAAAAAAGTTATCTTATTCATTTACTGTTTACTCATTGACATGTTCCAGATGATACTGCAGTGATTTCTGCTTCTCACATATAAGGAGTGAACAACTACTTTATTTCTTATATCTTCACTACATAATGTAAAGAGTATTAAAATACATACACCAAAATCATTTTCCTAAAATATTATTTTATTTGCCCCCCAAAAAATTCTGCAGGCATTCTCTGAGTGACACAACTGTTATAAAATCAATCTGATATAAGTAATGCAGGAAATACTAAGTGATTTTACTCTAAATTTATTTCATGTCTGACACTGTTCCTTTTTTATGTTAATCTGAATTTCTGACCTATATTATTTTCCTTCTCTTTAAGGAATTTATATTAACATTTTTTGCAAAGCAAATCTACTGGCAATGAATTCCCTCAGTGTTTTTTGTTTGTTTTTTGTGGTACTGGGGATTGAACCCAGAGCCTTGTGCATGTGAGGCAAGCACTCTACCAACTGAGCTATATCTCCAGCCCCTTTCCTAAGTGTTTTTTTTTTTTGTTGTTGTTGTTGTTTGTTTGTTTGTTTGCTTGCTCAGTTTGTTTGTTTGTTTGTTGTATAACACTCTGGGTTCCATCCCCAGCACTGCAAAAGAACAAACACTGAACTACATCTCTGGTCCCCTGTGTATGTTTTATTAGGAAAATCCTTATTTCCTTTTCTCTTTTGAAGGATAATTTCACTGGATTGAAAATGCTAGGTTGTTGAGGTTTGTTTTCTTTTAACATTTTAAATATTCCACTCTTCTTGTTGGCCAACAAGAAGTCTGGTATAATTCTTAACTTTGTGATTTTTTTAAAATTTTATTGTATTCCTATGCAGAGATATGATTTATCTCTCCATGTGTTTAGTTTTATATTATATTCTAGAATAATAGTCATATATTTTTTTTTTTACTTTAGGCCAGTACCTTTCTTGTTATATTCATTTTTAGGTATTTTATGTTTGTTGTCATTACTAGAAATGGGATTTTTACTCATTTTCATTTGTTTCAATATGCTGTATTTATTTTCTTATACCCCACCACCTTATTGAATTTTCCTTGCATATGTTTCTGGGTACACAAGGATAACCTGCAAATAAAAATGATTTTCAGGCAATATCTATTGAGTTCTTTCTCACCCCTACTAAGTGAATTTCAGCTCACTTAAATAAATCTTAACATTTAACTCTTGCCTTCCGTCTGTAGATTTCATCCTTCAAGTTTGCAAGACAAGAACCCAGAAGGAAATTGGCAGTGAGCTGCTGGGGTCTGCTGCAAAACTTCAGGGCATAGCCCACCATTAAGAACTGTAAAACCCATATGTGGTCGCACATGCCTGTAATCCCAGTTGACTCGGGAGGCTGAGGCAGGAGGATTGAAATTTCAAGGCCAGCCTCAGCAATTTAACAAGGCCCTAAACAAGTTAGTGAGACCCTGTCTCAAAACAAAAAAAAAAAAAGAAAGAAAGAAAGAGCTGGGATGTTTTTCAGTGGATAAGCACCCCTGGGTTCAATCCCATTTACAGTTAAATCTCTATTATATCTCTCAAGTGGATTTTCAATAATGTTATATTTTGTGTTAATTTTGTCTTAATATTAATTTTCATTAATATTAGGGTGTCAAATCATGGAAAGCACAGATTTTCCAATAGAATATGTCAATATGATAAAGCTAAAAATGATTTTCTCTCTTTTCTCAATATTTAATCCATTTATTTTATCTTCATATTTTATTGCATTAGAGATTTCAATATACTATTGTGATAGGATCAACCCTATGTTGTACCAAGAGGTTACATGATTCAATTATAGGAGCTGTATCCTTATCAGTGGATTAATCCACTAGTTGGATTATTGATTTGAATGGACTACTAGGTGGTGACTGCATTTTTAGCATATTTACCTTTTTGAATTATACTTCCTGGCAATTTTGAGTCTAATCTTTAATCTTTTCTGAATTTTCACAGATCTTTTCTAGTCTAGTTTTAGTTTGAGGATGCTGTCGAATTGTGTCAAATGTTTCTTTTATATTCATTGATATGATTGTGTTGTTTTCTCCTTTGTTTTTTAAATTTTATGTTATTTTTTTATTTCTTTATGTGGTGCTGAGGATCAAACCCAGTGCTTTTCATATGCTAGGTAAGTGCTCTACCACTGAGCTACAATCCCAGTCCTCCCTTTTGTTTTTAAAACGAAACAAATTAATAGATTTACTAATGTTAGTCATCATTGCCTTACTAGAAAATCCAGTTTTGTTATAGGGTAAATTTTTCTTTAGATACTTGTTGGATCCAAATTGCTAATATTTTTCATCTACAAGACAAAATGATCTCCAGATAATTGCTTATTTGTATTAGAACTGCCTTTCTTCCTTCCTTCCTTTTTTTTTTTTAAAACAGAGATTGAAATCAGGGGCACTTAACCACTGAGCCACATCTCCAGCCCCCTTTATTTTTTTGATACAGTATGTTGCTAAGTTACTTAGGGTTTTGCTAAATCGTGGAGGCTCACATTGAACTGGCAAACTTCCTGTTTCAGCCTCCCCAGTCACTGGGGTTATAGGCATGCATCACCGTACCCAGC